GCGTACCACGGATAATATTCTCTTGTAGAAGGAGCCTCCGCCGCCGAACCTTCCTCAGATTTGCTAACTCTAACGCATTTGAAAAGTGCCAGAAACGAAAAGCAAATTAAAAAAAAAAAAATGAGCAGGCGCCGTGCCATCGGAGTGCTCAGCAGTGCATATCCTGTGGTTTGGAAACTTTTGTCCCCAACTGTACACTATATCACATCCTAGAAGTGCGACAATGATTCCCATTCGAATGATGCTATACCCCTGAAAGATTGTTTTGTATGATTTCATGGCCTGTAAAGCTAACCACACCTTTGTCACACTTTCAGAGTACAGATACTGGATGTACCAGAATTTCAAGCCTGGATTGGAATGTGAGTTGAATTGCATTTGTGGCAGTGGCCACAACTACTTGTTCACTAACAGCTTTTCTTTTGTGCTGAGGTTGGCATGCCAGGAAAAGCTTCTTCCAATTTGGTTCCTAAACCTAAATTGTGCATGTTGGAGATTCAAAATAGTGCTGACACAACTATAAGAAACTTAAAGCAATCGACTGACGGGCTAAACTTTGGTTAGCTTTAATGAGTGGCAGAAATGCTACAATGTAATTTGAAGATAGTTAACATAATTCTCCCCATCACCAGTTGTTTCCAGTTCTAGTTAATTCTGCATGCCTTACCACATACCATCCTTCCTTGGTAGAACAACTACTTGGGATTCAAGCTTCAAACCATTTCAAGAACCCAGCTGTTTTGATTTCAGCGCACAAGTTATGTGTCACCTTAAAAATAAAGAAATGAAAACAATTTTTTTTTGTGTACGCTAGCAATTATTTAAAAAATAAAACAAATCAAAGGTCGAAGTGCTTCTTAATGTTTACGCTGCCTTTCGAGTGACAGCATGGCGGCCCACGTGGTTTTCCGCTGAGCCCTCGGCCACTCCCTCTGCGATGGTCGACTTTTCAGGGGTTACCATCGCTGAAGGTCGTGGTGAGCGATTGAGACGAAAGACGGTTCGCCACGGGGCTGATGGCGAGTGTAGCAGCAGAGGGGAAGAGGTTTTGTTGACTTCCACGTGTACTCCAGTCACGTGACATTGTATTTCTCGTAACTGCCACACGTGGCTGCAAATGGGCAAATAATTAATTTTTTAATTTTTTTCAGGGGGGGCGGGGGAATGTGGCACTTCTTTTCTCACTCGGGCCATTATAAACAATATAAAAAAATACAAACTTAAAAATATTTAAACATTAAAGGGGCACTTCAGCGAAATTCGAAATATACCCGTCATGTTCAAAGATAGGGTCCTAGACAGGCGTTAGCGACATCTACGAGATGCTCTTTGCTAATCGTTTAATTGGTTTGAAAATTCCTTTTTGTGACTTTTTTAACAAGATATTGGTGTGTTCGATGTGATACTGCCCCCTTGAACACATGGACCAAAAAATAAGCGCCAAAATTTCATTGTGGTAGCCCTTTAAAATATTTGCACTGGCCCCTTCGTGTGTGAAATGAATTCGCAGATTTGTATCGGTTGGTGTGCTATTTCGTAAAATGATTACATGAGAAAGCCTCTAAAGAGGTTTCAAATCCATGTGACATTACATTTTATTCCATCTGGGTAGTTCCCAGCAGCACGGGGCTAGCGGCAAGTGATTGTTTTGCAAATGTATACATATTGTTTTATTTTATGTGCATACCTATCATTTTGCAGAACTGTATCGGTCTATATGCTTCCTCACAAAATGATCACTCGAGAAAGCCTCTTAAACAGGCCCCTTATCCACGCGATATTAAATTTTCCGACACCTGAATTGGTCTCAATGATACGGGTGTAGAAGCAAATCATTGTTTTGCACGTGCATGCATATTGTTTCAGTGTACTACAAGACTGGAGAGATACTGGGGGACAGCAAGGTCCGTACCTACGACTACAGTACCTGGGGAGTGAACGAGTAGTACCTGCCAGAGAACAGGGGCCTCAATCGGCTGTACAGAAACAACTGGGCATTTCCTGACGGGGAGTTCACGAAGGCTGACGTGATCTAGGAAACGTGGAGCATGCAGCTCTCATGTCGGGCACTGTGAATGTCATACCCGGACCCCCATGTGTGCTTGTAAAGTAGTATTAGCACAAATGTGACATTGGTGCTTTTTTGCAGAGTTTGTCTACCTGTGTATAAAACACTGGTCTAAATAAAGAGTGAGAAAAATAACTTTTTGAACTCCTCTGTTATGTGGAGCATGGCCATGTTTTGCTTTTTTGGGGGGCATATCCCATGGGGTAAAAAAAAATGCCCTTCCCAAAGTGTGCGAGCAAAAGCTTGTGGTACAGAACCCAAAGGTCTTGGCGTCGATCCCTGCCCCTACCCGTTTTGATCTGGATGAACATTGTACCGCCATGCATTTAAGCAATCACCGAAGTGTTATAATTAGTAATGATAATCTATTTCGTATTTCATATTTTGAAACGAGAGACAAGAACAAAAAGCAGTGACGAATGCACGACCCCCGGTTAGCGGTGTTGGTACCTCACTAGCTTAATGCCTTTACTACACTGAACCAATGTTGCCATATGCCAAATGTTTTGTCAGATTGACCCCTTGCTGTTAAGTCACTCAACATCTCTTCCTTCCCTTTTCATTGAATAAACCCCCTTCCTTCTGTAACTTCTTTTAACCTCCTGAAATGAAGTGACCGCAGTCAGATTGAATGCATCCGAGGCGAAATCATTCTTTTTTGGTCGGGGAGCAATGAGCAGCTTATTCCCAGGGCTCGACCCATTTTGTACACAGCAGCAGATGAAAGGGGGGGCAGGGAAGACGACTGCAACCCCTCGGCCCATAAGGGTGGCATTTTTTATGGAAAAAAGAAAAGGTTATACAAATGCTTGATTCCTGCTGAAATGGTGACCAATTTTCTCGACGTTAAACCTGTGCCATGCTACATCTCTTTGAGATACACCCCCCCCCCCCCCCCCCCCCCCCCTTCAAAAAAGAATGAACAACCCGACCCATAAATCTGCCCGTTCAAACACGAGTGGAATGAATGTGCTCGATTATACAGCGGAATTTCGTTAATTGGAACTCGAGGGGGATCCAAACTTTGCTCGAATAATGCGAAGTTCGAATTACCGGGAGTTTCCTTCCTAGAAACACATGGGACGGGTCCTGCATGTTAGTTTGAATTACCGAGATTCCACTGTATTTGGGGTACTTGTGTTTTCCTTGCAGATTCTTTCATTTTTGGAGCTGTTGGTAAAATTGTGCGGTCTGTATACTTGGACAGCGGGAAGTGGGCCCCAAGTGCGTCTGGTGCTTCAGCTGCAAACGAGAAATCTAGCCAGTGCAGCACCACTGCTAGCCACGGGCCTTTAACGTGCGTCACGCAGTAAACTCGCAGACTATTTTCTGTGGCTATGCAGCCAAAACTACGGGTGCACGTGCACCTTGAGCGTCTGTCAAAGCTGTGCACGTGCAGTCTTCACTTCCGAAATGCCACAGCAAGTTGTCTGCCTGAACGCTGTTCATCTAGAGAGGAACAGGCAAGGGGGGGGGGGGGGGGGGGGGGGGGAATTGAACCCAGGAACCCTGGGTTCTGCAGTGTGACACTGTCAGTGCGAACGTGGCATTGCCAATTTGTCCCATTTGACTTTGAAACGGTTTTGATGGGCAGCAAACATTGCCCTTTAGGTCAGTGCCCCAAATGAAGGGTGATCGGTTATTTAGTGCACACCAGCTAATAGCACACGAAGGCTCTCGCTACAAAACCCAGGGATTCGGGGATCAATCCCCACCCATACCCGTTTCGATCTTGATGAGCATCGTACCGGCCTGCGGTAGTGTCACTACTGCGTGGTGCATGTTAAAGACCCCAGGCTACCAAACGTACTGCACTGGCTAAATTTCTCATCTAAATTTCGGAGACAAGCCGCTCGTCGAGGCAGACCAAGTTCTAGACTGTATAAACATACACACCCCAATTTTTTTTCTGCCCCAAATAAATATTTTTTGACACATATCGTAGTTTTATGGCAGCTTTCAATTCGAAGTGAAGAGCAGAGAAAACTGACAATTGTTTGTTCAAGCTGAGTATGTACTGTCTGTGTAAAGTACCGAACAATATGGAAGACCCATTTGACGAGGCAATTTCAGGCGGCTGCGCCAGATTCACGTCAATTGGAATGAGGAAATATATGAACCTTTGCTCTATTGTCCTAAAAATGAAGTGCCTCGAGCCAAAGAATGCTTACAGCCACCACATAGACTGCTTAGGTGAACGAGGCGTTCATACTGTGAAGTTTTTCTTTTTCAACCCAGCTCCGCAAGTCTGCAATATCATCCTGGTCCACAAAATAAAAGAGGCCTTAGGTTGCAACTCACTTTATTTTATGCACATTTCAAATGATGTAGCTGCAGCTACAGAAAAGAAGTTATACTCTCGCACATGCACACACACACTTGCACAGAGGTCGTTCACACTACAGTATAGGGAGTGCAAAAAGGAAAGCCCCGCTCAGTTATATCCAAACATTAGATGCATCTTTGAGTCAAGTGCAAAAAGGAAAGCACCGCTCAGTTATATCCAAACATTAGATGCATCTTTGAGTCAGGCTTGCGTCTTGCCCGAATCCTCGGCCTTAGAAGTTCCAACTTTTGCTTTTCAAGGACTCTGGGGCTTCTCAGAACTGGCGGCAATTCTGAAAGAGGCACACTCGTTTTCTGCCAATTAAAAAATATTTATGTCCTGGAAGCAAGAAGTGAACAGTATTTTTTGTTCACATGCACAATAAAGGGAGAGCGAAAATTACGGAAGAAACGCAGCTACACTTGGTAGCAACTTTCTGTGGCATTTCAGGACAATGTGCAGATGCACAGCTTTGGTCAGTCGGCACTCAAGGGTCACAAGCACAGAGGTGTGCATAGTTTGGACTTAAATGGCACAGAAAGTTGCCTTCTTGATGGGCCCTGACTGGGGCTCCTGCGACCAGCCGCATGTCTCTTGAATATAAAAAAAAACTTATCTGTTGTAGGTTCTCTTTCTACAGGTCCATTTATTCATTTACCGCAAAGGAACAAAGTAAATTGTACCTTAAATGTAAATAAAGACAAAGTCGACAAAACTTCAGCAGAAGCTCCTCCCACCTTAGCAGAGCGAACGCTGAAGAGGAGGTCACCTCTTCTCCAGTGTTTGCTTTGCCAAACTGACACCAAATATAGGCACAGCCATGCAGAAAGTTGACAGCTCCAATGTGAATGTGACATCTACCGGTTTCAAGGGCTCCATCACAACACTGGAAAGTCGCAGGATTTGAACTACCATTTTGAACGAGACGTACATGGACGAGGCTTTGGACAGACCTAGAGCGGCTGGTCGACCACACAGCTCAGAAAATGAGCAGCAAACTAGGGCAAGGCGTCGTTAGGCTGGTGAAGTTAAATCTTTGGACGACTGTAGCTGTCGAAACACCAACGTGCAGATTGGCACCAAATAAGAAATTGACATGCACGCGTGGGAAATACCAAGGGTAAACTAGATGCACTAAGGTAGCTATGTTTCAGAGCAACGCCATAATGGGCAGTAGCTTACGCCACCTAGCCTAGAAAATCAAAACTATGATTCCTCCTTCTCTCCCTCCTAAGCCAATTTACTTTTCCTCTGCATTTTCGAATGGCAACTATAGTCAATTGTTCCCGCACTGCACTGGGTCAGGAAATGGCATTGTCCGCAGAGTAATCGGGGAAGAGAGCGTCAATACTCTAGCCATAGCTTAGTGCTTTAGGGTACATTTAATAGGCTCGCTCGATTTACCTGCACTTCCTGCACTGGTGCAGGAAGTGCAGGTAAATCAAACGAGTCTATTGTATGCAAGTCTTGTTCACTGTGAGCTAAGCTTGTAAATTTGTTACTTGGGTGCTTGTATCATCACTAGCGCAGTAAGAGATGGCCGACCTGGTTGCTGCACAAAACTGAAGTAATCAACATGTTTTAGCACATACAAATCGCGCACCTGTGCGGATCCAGTGACATCACGAGGCATTAAAGAGCAAAGAATTTGGTAGACTAGGCGTTTGGAAGTTGGTAGTGACATTTTGACAATGGAGCTGAAAGTGAACATATTCCAACCTAAACAATGTAATTGTACAAACATGAAACTTAAATTTTAACAATGTTGCTTTGGCATGTTTGATTTCCACACAAAAATTCACATTTCTCAGGAAAAAGAGGCGTCTACTTTGCCTGCCCTTTAGAAGACATTTGAGGTGGTTACACAAAATTCCCTGTACAAAGGAAAAAAAGTAAAAAGCAGTAAACTGAAAACATGCTGATCATAGACACAATGAATCAAAGCCGAAGGTATAAATAAGTAAATTTTGAATCTCTTGACACGCAATTGAACCTCTTCTGCAATAAGCTTCAATCAAAATGCGGACACTTCAGCCAGGACTCGAAACGAGACTAAAACTAATACTACAAGAACACCTTTGATGGGTTGCACTTTATCCACTAAAAATGAGCGAGATCGAGTGTTCTGCCTACCTTTAGTAAATTAGATGCTGCATTAACTTTGTAAAATGGTTCGCGTAACAACAAAAAAAATCCAGTACTCCTCAATGAGCGCACCCGACGAGCTCATTCACTGCACCATTTGCGAGTCTCCTCCTGTTCAGCCGTCTCACAATGTGCTTCTAAGGAGCAGGTTATCTGCTCAATCTGGGATTAAAGTCTGTGCTCCAAAATGACCAGTGGCAGTTGTCATCAATCTGAGCACACGCAGCTCTATGTGGCCAAGCACCGAGAACCCCAAAATGGTGAACAAGAGGCACGAGCCAATGCCCACAATTTATTGCACAGTGAAAACCACGAGATGTGCGAGGGTACTCGCTCGATTAAAAAGTGTTCGAGGCAAAGTGACGACCCCAATGTTAAATGAATACAGCCAGGAGAGAGCAACTTTTCAAAAGAGCCGGCAAGTCGCCCTTTGACGAAAGGGTGTCAACGCAAAAAAGAAAAGGTGCACGAGTAGGAACTTAAAAATGGGCAGACGCACATAGAGAAACGAAACGCGTGTTCTGGTCTGGGACGGTTGACATCTTGAGCCGAGAAACTAGTCACGTGTAGTTGGAGAACTTTCTAGATGCACATACCGTGGCAAATCGCTCGGTTCACGAGATGTCGACTCTGGCATACACACACACACGCACAAAAAGATCCGATTTGGATTTGCTGCTGCATGACTATGATTCCGATCCGACCGGCCAACTTTCAAAATCCACTATTTACAGGGAGACTATGTGTAGACAGAAGGTGGCACGCGGCTAACAATGGACTTGTACTAAAGGACTCGAAGGAAACGTCTGCGGCCAATTGCCCTCTCGCGTTTAGGAGCAAAGGCACCTGTTATGCTCCCTTCACCCCTAAAAACTGAGCGCGACAGAAGCTCCACGCTCGTTGCCTCAATTGGCTGTCTGCCTTTTGCCGTCCGGCCCCTCTTTGCGCGTGGGTACGGGCAGATGCGCGATCACGTGGCGAACAACCAACGGCAGACGACTGGTCCAACGGGCATGTGGCTTCCTCCGCTCAGACGGCTTAGCGGTGTACGGAGCACAGAAACAAACCACTGTTGCCGCACTTTCTCATCTCTTGCACAGCAAGCACACAACCGTGAACAGCACGCTTATGCTGGAGTTAAGCCAAAGTCGGTGCCGCAAACCACCCAAGGTGAAATGGACTTGTTCGGCCTACCGTCTGTTGCACGTTAAGAAGAGCCCGGAAAGCCCCTCCCACAAAGCTTTCTAGTTGCCACGACTGGTAGTTAACTTCTCTCCAGCGTTTCCCGCCTTTCTCAACCCGCAACAGACCGTAGGTGGCCCGCAGCTTAACACAGCACGACGACGTGCCAAACTCGAGATCGCACAGAGGCCCCCCAAATCGAAACTTTCCCCGACACAAACAAATACTCCTCGATCTCAAACCGTCTCTAGCTGCTCCGTACCCTTCAAACTTCCGAACGCTCCCCCACCATCCAGCCAGTCAGGGGGGGGGGGGCACAATTCATTTGCACGTTTATACTGCGACGACGGTTGCACTCGCGCAAGAGTCAAGACGGGCGTGGGAGCGAAGTCTTTTTTTAAACTCGGGAAGCGCATCCTGCGGATCACTTGGTGAGGTTGGTTTGCTGGAAGAAGGCGGCCATCTGCGAGCTGTAGCCCAGGCCCACCCCGCGGTGGGTGTGGGTGGACAGGCGTGCCGCCTCGTACTGCTGGTCCAGGTCGTGGAAGAGCTTCTCCTGCTTGCTCAGCAGCGGGTCCGAGCTGGGGTCTGCATCTGGGGGGGGCTCGCTGCGGATGCCCATCAGCTTGCGGAACTTGGCCGTCACCTTGCCCCCTTCGTCCTGGGCGAAGGTCATCTTCTCCCACACCTTGGCGCACGAGGACGCCGGCTTCTCCTGCGGAGACGATGCACGAAGGCCGACCATGCTCATGTTAGATTTCTTTTAATATGAAGTGTGTGCTGCAGAACCTCAGAAGTATGTCTTTCAGCAAACTCAAAGAAAAATGGGCAATTCGCAAAAACCACACCATACGACAACGCTCCGGGCATATGACTTTGGTCACAGCAAGAGCAAGACCAATTTGTCTCTTGAGAAGCCAGTTAAAGGGGTAGTGCAACAATTTTTAAAATTGAAAAAAGTGGCAGTTTGTATTATTTTATATTGTTTAAAAGCATTCCACCGCCGACAAACATGAAACAATAGCGATATCAAGAACACCTCAGCTTGCTATGAGTTCAGCCGGATGTACCTGTAGCATAGCGCTATTCTGTGCGCTTATTTAACATACTCTTTTTTAAATTTTCTTTAATACGCAGACAAGAATTATGTTTGATAGCGATTCACAAATTAACCCGAATGTATGGCGGTGAAATGCACAAGAAGCGCCCGACTACCGGGCAGGGCTGCCAACATGTAAAGTCAAAATTTCCCTAGCAAATGCCTCAAATTACCCTACTTCCGCCAAAATTTCCCTCGCTTGCCCAAATAACTAAATAATACTAAATATTCGTTGTTGTTTTTTTGTTTGCATTACTTTTATTTTTGCGATGATAGATGCATTATGCAGACTTTATGTCTCGCGTATGTTTCGCAAAAATGAGTTCATTGGGCCAACACCGTGGCCAAAGCAAGTCTGGGGAAGTGTTACCCGGAGGTTCAAACTGACGAAGGAGACCCTATCTTCACCTTAGATGTTATGCACGCCATCTCAGCTTTGTACTGCTTAATAAGTTCAATAGCGCTTACAAAAAGCGTAACACAAGGCACAGTTCTCGAACTCGAACACAGGGAACATGACACATACTAACTACTATTTCGTGCACGGCACTTCATGAAATATTATTAGTCATGGTAGGTCTGTATCTCCACACATCGCAGTATTTCTTCTTGCACTCAGGCTTTTTTTTTTCCGAGAAGCCATGCCGGTGCTCTCAGAAGTTTGCACTTAGCTGATCCCTTCCTCCATAGCTTTCACAGAGGCGATGAAAATAAGTGAAAATTGATTCTGCCAAAAAAAATTGTTAGAGTGCTCCCAGATGGTCCCACAACAAACTGCCAAACGCTGGAGAGAATAGCCTAAATGTAGCCAAAGCCGCTAAGATTCAATGTTATCTCTAAATAAAATCATATTTGACCTATGAAATTCCAGATATATACAAAGTTCCCTCAAACTAGCAAGATTTTCCTCGTTACCACATAGACCTGAATATTATCTTTATCTGGGGAACTTCCCTCGAGTTGGCAGCCCTCCTACTGGGGCTGGCGGCACTTCTTGCAAGAGCCACTCCGCATTCCGCTAGAACAGCCGACGGCTCACTCCCCGCGGCTTCCTTTAGCACAATTCACGGTCGTACGGCATTGTCAAGATCATGCTGGAGTGCTAACTATGTTTTCTGGTATTGACATGCGCGATCCAGGTAGTTTAGTAGGTTTTCGGTGCTCGTTTATGACCATTCTTCACCCAGAAGCAACCAACAACTGCGCTGTTGGACGCATGTTCAACCCGTCGGAGCGGGTGATGCTCCAATGGAGTCTGCAATGGCGTGGGATCTTAAACTGTGACGGCGAACGAAGAGGCTTCCACAGGCCAAAGTCTGGATAGGTGGGGATGCCTTCCAGAATTGGAGGTTAGGCTTGCAACGTACGCCCCAAAAGTGCACAATCGGTACCGTCCCGTGCCGCGCAACGCGATCACCCAGCAAGCGAGGAAGATGCAGTTGATGCTGTAATTTGCGAAATGCCAGGTTTCATTGGACGACGCCGACGATGTGCCTCGAGAACGTGGCAGTGATGACGACGGTACTGACATCACCAGTACGAATGAGTCGTAGTCTAGTTGCGACGGAGTGAGAACGACAGGGAGTAGCTTCAATTGTCCCGCCTCCAGCGCTTCCTAGTTTCGGTAACGCCTGGGCATCTCATGCACCTAGCACGTGCATGTGCAGCCAATTGCGTTGGCCAATTGCACCTAAGCTTTAGCGTCAAGTCCAACCAGCAGCCAAGAATGCCAAAGCTCCCAACTCTACCAAAATTGGATCCCTGGAGTGCAAATGGATCAAGGAAAAGGAGATGCGCGCAATGACCAAGTCCGCAGGGACATCTCTTTTAGGACCAGTGACCACGAAAGCAACGAATGGAAACTAGTGACGCAAAACTATCGATAAGGTCACAAAACTATGAATAGTCGACTATAGAGAGTTTTTCGATAGTCAACTATTTGATAGCATTATCGATAGTTTTTCGATAGTGAGATTTCTTGCGACTATCGATAGCTTTGCATTACTAGAGTGGACACAGTTGCTGCACCGCCGCTCGCCTCCCTTAGGCCTCATTCACACAGCCGCTTTTTCGCCCCGCCCGGCGAAAACGCCGGCCGTCCTTTTCGCCAGGGGAGAAGGTGTTGGGACCGGTTTCTGTCCGAAATCAGGCCGAACGAGGATGTTCAACGTCCCCAGCACCGGCAGGAGACCGGGAACGCCGGCGCCCCGCCCCATCGAGGGACGGCCAATCACAAAATCGGAAACTTTTGCTGAATCTGGCGGATTCTCAAAAGTTGGGAAACCATAAGCACGGCCGCGGCAGGGGAAATTGACCGTACTGTGCCCTAACCGTCCTAACGAGCCAACGAAGTCAACAAAGCTCGTTTCGGGAAGGAGGGAGGCCAGCGAGACAACGGGCGCATTGTGTGATGTTTACGGCTTTTGAACAACGGGCATACAGAGATTTGGATTTACCGCTGAGCTGCTGCTCGAAATGGTGAGACCACATCGGTTTATTTGCGATAGACGTAAATGCGATTTTAGGGAAGAACAGCCGAAAAAAGAAAATGCGGTCGTCGATCATCGGGGACGAAATGCGGCGCAAGGAGTGATTGATGTGAAACGTGCTCGCGATGGGTCTTGTCGCTTTTGTTTCGAAACGTGGAGACAAATAAAATCAATGTTTTGAAACATGCAAGATCGTTATCCGCGACCCAAACGCAAGCTCCAAGGAACAAAACAGTTGCGGCTGCGCCCATCGACGCCGATAGTCCGCTACATTTGGTGGTCGACGCCGCCACAAAGCAGCCACAAATACGGGATTAAAAGATTGGTAGTAGAGATCGAGTGAAGTGTAAAATTGCGCACGAAATAATAGGTTATACCTGCTATACTGTTTCACAGAATACAAACGTTCGACGCGAAAATTGACAGGTGCAGAAAGATTTCTAAGCTAGGTGGCTTAGAAGGGGGCGCAGCCGCCAGCATCCATCAATTGCTATAGCCACCGCCGGGAGCTCCGTCGCCGCTGGTTCGAACACTCCTCCGTTCCTGCACCGTCCCGGCGAAAGCGCCCACGGCGCTTTCGCCGGGACGGGGCGAAACGCCGGCTGTGTGAATGAGGCCTTACTTCTCTCTTCGCCCAAACTCCCGTCTTCGTCATCATTGAAAGCTGAACTAAAGTTGGGATGATAAGTACTTGGGCTAGTTGGTGTCCCATTCGAAAAAATAAAGCGAGAAAAAGAAGAGGGAGTGATGCAAACTACTAGTGTCGCAAAACTATTCATAGTAAGCCGTCGACAGTACTATTGGATAGGTTTACGATAGTCGACTATCGATAATATGATAGTCAACTATCGATAGTCAGATTTTTGGCGACTATCGATACTATCGATAGTTTTGCACCACTAATGGAAGCCTGTACAATACAACGTTTCACTCAGTGTCACTCGCACAATTCTCATAGACCACAGTACAATCTTTTTAATAAATTCTCGGTTTATACCGTATTTACTCGCATAATGAACACGCTTTTTTCCCCTGAAAAATTAACACATATTTGCGGGGTGCGTTCACTATGCGGGATGAAATTTTTGCATTCTCTGGCAGAGAGATGCCTCACCTCCGGGCTGCTACTGTTGGCGTCCCCTTCAGCAGACTTCTTCCAGAGCAGCCGGCGCTTCTGCATCTGCTCGGCGTACTTGAGGGGGTTCACGGCCGAGGGGTTGTAGTAGCTGGGCAGGGCGCTGCCGCTGCTCGCCTGGGTCAGGGCCAGCTGCAGCCCCGCGGGGCCGGGGGCACCCAGGGCCTCCACGGGCATCAGCCCCGACCGGACCGCCGCTGCACGCGCTGCCGCCAGGGCAGGCGACACGCCGGGCGGCATGGTGGTGGTCGCCAGGGCGGCGGAGGCGGTGGACGTCGGCGCCGCCGTGGTGGGCATCGCGGTCACCAAGAACTGCTGCGGGTTGGTGGCGGTGGAGGCCGGAATCGCTGCGGGACGAGGGCGTAAATGAGGCTATGGCTAGTGATCGCTACACACAAAAAAAGAAAATAGTTCCCGATTTTGTTTTGTGCTTTACCTTTCTTTATTGGTTATATAATATTATTGCCTTTCCATACAGTGCCTTTTATGGTTTTATTCCTCTTTTCACCACCTGGTTCCCCCCCCTTTTTTTTTTTATTCCTTTTCAGTTGAGAGTCTGTGCGTGTGTTGACGTCACGTGACCCGACGTCATATTTTAGCAACCACCCATTGACGCTGACACAGTAATGTCACGCGTCACCATGACTTTGTGCTAAGAGTCACTCACATAAGCTGGCATGGCCTGTCGCATGTAAGGTGCTCACATGACCCACAGCACACAAACCACGTGACCGTGGCACCTACAGTGGCACCCCTTTAAATTTCGCAAGATGTTAGCCTTCTAAAGTTGGCATAAGATGGCACACTACAGCTACACGAATCACTTCTTCGCATTTACTAAAACATTTTCTGGATTAAAATGGGGCGGAAAATCGGCTCACAGATGCTATCGTGGTTGGCTGAAAGTTTGCTGCCAAATGATAGTATATTCACTGGGGCCGCTGTTACTGCATGTGCTGCCACACTGCGCGTGCGAACGGTGAGCTACCACGACGTTTGCTTTACGCCATGAAAGCTTTCGGCAGACGATGGGCCACTTTTTCACATCCTCATGCTAACATCATCGCCATAATACGACCGACAAATGCAAACTTTCATCAATTAATAAAATAAGATATCCTTATTTACCTGGCAGCTGATCTGAGCAGCACTTAGCAATCCAGCTACACAAAATAAATACTCTCAGCATTTGCACCGACGCGCCAACCTACCTACACAAAAATAAATATTCCCGGTATTTACATTTCAAACAAACCAGGAAAGTGACCTCACTGAGGGCGAGAGACGAATTCGAGCCTCCGAGAACCTGCAACGTGCGGCAGACAGCTTGCCCCAACTCGGAACAGCAAAAGCGAGAATTCCAGAAGAGACTCACCCTCCGGCAACACCGTGCCGGTCTCCCGAATGCCCACTCCCGGAGCACGCAGGGCCGGCTTGGCTCCCGCCGGCCGCTCCTGGGGCGCCTTTGGGCTTTGGCTGCGGCTACGGCTCGAGCTCCGGCTGTGGCTCCTCCTCCTCCTGCGGCGGCCGCCATCGTCCAGGTCTCGGCTCCCGTGTCTGTGGCGACGGTGGCGGTGGCGGCTCCCGCCGGCTCGCTCCCGGCTCCTCGACCGGCTGTGGCGGGCCCTCCTCCCGTGGCGGTGGTGCCGGCGGTGGCGAGGGGGGCAGTCCTCCTCCTCCTCCGAGTAACGGTGGTGGGACCGGGAGCGCGAGCGCGACCGGTAGCCCCGCGGTCTCTCCGCATCCTGGGAAAGAGAGGCGTCTAATATGGGGGTAAAGGCAGGCGTGTGTCACTAGGGGCTCCCCGGTCAATGCAGTACGGCATTGTTCCAAGAAAAAAAAAGAAGAGAAAACGGGTTCTACGCCACTCCGGTTCGAAAACTGTCGAAAGAACGCGTCTCCACGTCCCCCGGCGGGAGGACGGACCTCTTTGGTGCACAAGCGTTCGGAAAGCCGGCTCTAACCCTTCGGTCTGGGGTCTACGCTCTCTGCGCCTCGTCGATTCTGGCTCAGGCACGAGCCGTTCTTTCTTTTGCAGTTTCCAACAGATCGAGAACGCCAGGGAGTTCTTCCGGTTGTCCCGCCCCTAGCGCGAGCTTCCAACCTTCGATAGCGCTTGGGAGTCGCACAAGCTTTGATGGAGCAAGCACGTGCTGGAGGTCCGGTATTCGGAAGAGATGCCCCGCCATTCTCGTCTTGTCGGAGACCGTCGAGCGCTATGCGTTGCGTAAGCAGTCGTGATCGCATGCACTTTCCCCGGTGCTCCGTGACACTTCTGAAATACTCTAAAGAAAGGACGTAGGAGTATATAAGGGAGGCTGAATCGGGACAAGTCCCGATTCAGCCTCCCTTATTTTTGAGGTTACGCGGAGCAGCGACGGAAGGTGGATTGAAGCGAGCAATCTGCTGTGCCCGTTTCATCGAAATGTTCATTCTTTCCCACACTCTCTTTGAAACCTGCCGTAGTTTGTCGTCTACCTCAATTACCCCTTTTGTGACGTCGTAAGGTCTCAAAGAATTCTATTCCCCGAGCTGCCCGGGATATGCAAGAACTTGCCATATTGTCACCTGCTCTGCCGGCAAATCCCGAACTTCCTACTTGGATGTGCACCAAACGTGTCACAAACAAATTAACGGGGTATGCGGACGGCCAAGGAAGGGAGACGCGCTTTGTGAAAAGCTGCATATTGTGTTTTTTTTTACTGTTTTGAAAAGCCCACAAACCAGTAAGAGTACTGAGGTATAATGGAATAACACTCATGTTGCGAGGCAAGCATCGGACTGGGTTGTGAGGCAAAGAGCCGGTTAGTTTTCGCGTGGAGACTGCATCGGGACATTTCGTTTAAAACTCTAGATGAGAAAAAAAAAAAAAGAAAAGAAAAATGTAATAGCCCGGTGAGGCCAGGCACTACCAGAGAGACCGGGAGACATGACAAAGGCCATCTAATGGGTTTGTTTCAATACCTACGAGGCATTGACTGCCCTCACAATTACAGTCAGAGCAAGAAAAGGAGTACTGAAGTGCCCTGACCTGTTACAAAGTTACTAAGCTGATCTTTCAGTTACTAGACATAATAAGCTAAAGTAGACATGGCACTACAGGAAGCAGGCATCATCGAAAAACATTTGGGAATAGGGTAAAAGCGGCGTTGCCGAGACATTCACGAAAAACAAAAAAAGGAGACAATGAGAGGAGGTGATACATTGCATTTACCGTGAGCAGCGCTACGTACCTTAGCCCCTCTATGATGCAGGTCATCCGCCTGTGGTCGACAGTATGACGGTGCCAATCTCAAGTTGTTTCTTGGGTAGCAATGGTCATACAAGACGAGTTAATACCGAGAGAACTCCCAAGAATGCATAACTATTCTTTTTTTTTTCTCAAACTGTTACAAGAAACAGTCATAGGCTGCACGATTACACAACACCTAATACAGAACACTCAAGTGCACTGACGAGACTTACATCCCTCAACCAAGATACATATCAGCATTGAGGTGCTTTGCCCTTACGATGTCATGGTACTGATAGCGAATACGATAAGGAATTCTTGACTGAGGAAGACAATCTAAACAACATGGGAAATACACTGGAAGCAGACTGCAACCACAAAGAGCTTAGCAAGCGCCCCGTCCTAGTAGCTAGCCCCAGCACACGGTAGGATGTTTTACTGCGTCCTTTTTGGCATTCCAACGACACTACCCGAAATTCTGCCACAGCCTCCGCACACTCTTCGTGTCGTCATCGAGTATTGTTATTGGGACGCAAAAACTACCTACTGTCGGGGAGGAGACCCAACCGCTGCGACCCGAGTGGCTAATATTAAAACTAATCCCACGAGGACAAGAACAACAATGACGCGGTGCTCGGCCGACGTAGCCGAACACTCCGTCAGCGTTCGACTGGGGCTCGAATTCTCCCCTTGCCCGAGAAGGAGCTCTTTTGTAGCTACTCCGGCCTACGTGAACAATGCAGCATGCATGTGTTCGGCACCTGCTCAGCACAAAGGATAAAGGGGATCAAGCCCCCATTCTTGGACGTCTCCTTCAAACAAAGATCCGGCTTCCGAAGTCCCGCCAACATCACTCTGTTTATGGCCGACTCACACGACAAACCACACCGCTACTTTCGTCTCTAGGAACTGACCGTGTACATAACCGTCACGTCATTGATTCCTGCGATCCACGCCTCATCAGCAGACATGCGCCTCTTCACTTGCGGACTTTAGGCGGACGATTGACTTGAAAAGCGTTTAGTCTGGTGACAGTACAAAGGTTTCTTTGTTGTCTCGTCTGGATAATTAAAACAAAGACGACACATCATTGTGTTTTGTGCATTCGCTGGTTCATTTTGTCCCGCAATTCTTGGTTCGACGCATGAAAGAAGCCACAGAATCTTTGCACAGCTGACGCGACACAGGTTCCTGTACTCCTCCGGGTCCACGTCAAGAAGCTTCTGTCAAAATTCGTCTAGCATGCGGCAATCTCTTTTGCACGTCCAATCAGCCTTTCACCCAGCAAGACTTTTCTTGTGGCTGTAGCGTACTGAAGTGTTGTGGGCGAGCGCAAAACGCGTGAAGGTATCTCTAGACGCTCCTCCGCGAGCCCAGGACCTCTTCACCTCTATGCCAAAGCCTTTTCAGCAAGACCATGTCTGTGTCAGTCATGCCTTGGGTTAGTAAAGCTTGTGGCACCTTGTGCTGAACCTATTACAGTGTTCTGTTTCACTTTGTCCGTAACAGCGGTGCACAATTCTCTATCGCAGTTGTGAAATTCGGTTTCCCTCTTAGACAACGATGCCACAGTGCGACATTGGAGTTTCGAGGCATTTTGGGACCGCAAACAGGTTCGAGCCATCCTTAATGTCGTCTGCTTGTCATCTCCTCCTTCGTCTGGATGCGCCTAGGTGACGGACCAACCGTAGAAGCGCCGCCACGTGACCAATCCGTCTGCGGATCAGTTTGTCATGTGAATCGGCCATTACTGCGGGCACTTTCTACGTCACACTCTACCCCGCACTCCATCCAGGGAGACAACGCAAAGAACCAAGTCTACAGGCCTCATGTCGGGTAAACACCGATCTCCAAGGAAAACAGGCTAGACGGACCATCCCCTATATATATAGTCAGACTTCCTCGCCAACGGTCTATTGCAGGTTTAGAACAGCAGGACAAGCCTATTCTATGCTGCCCTCTGATCACCACGATTGGAGGTTTTCTCCTCTCCAGCCAACAGCCCCTAGACAACTAGGCAGGAGGGCTGAATTTTCAACATACCCTAAAGATGCAAATGCAGGGCCAGGATTGGACACATCATAGGCGTTCGGCTAAGACTCGTGTCCTTCCTGATTGTCCAATCCGTGTCCTCCATTCACCTCTTTAGTCAAGGCTGGTTCATACTTGCGCGTCGACTATGTTGCGCTGCGCTGCGTTGCGTCGTGCAGCACAGCACCTTCCCATTGGTTCGTCATAACTGTTGCCATAGCAACAGCTCGATGCAAGCAGTCTTAACGAGGCCGAAGTGGTTGTAGTCGCACTCAAATGCAAGTGAGTGAACGAGCCTTTATATTGGAGGTGTTGCTCCAGTGGGATGAGCCTGTCCTGCTGTTCTACACCTGCGACAGACTAACACTCCGTTCAGCCTTTCGCAAGCAGACGGAATCCCACCTGCTGATGTCACAACGGGCTCGAGGTCAATCAAAACTGGGGAACACATAGAAGCGTCTGATCGGAAAACAAATCTAGGCCGTGACAAGCGTGCACAGGTTACCGCAGAGTCAATTTTCTTTCTTTGCCAATACCCAATCGATCAATCGAAAACAGATATAGCATAATCGCTTAAGAATCTTTTTTTAAGAGTGGCACGCACTGTCAACGATTACGGCCTTACATTTATGCGCAAGTATTAGAGCAAAGGAACATGCAGGCTGCTAAAACTACAGATTTGTCTTTTTTTAGCGTCTGCTGCGGACTGGATGGCAATCAACATAATAATAACAACAAATCGAGAACACGATTAAGAAATAAAATTGGGTTATGTTGCAGTGAAAAGGCCTACCATCCTTGAACCAGACCCGGACGATTTCTCAGTCTTGCCCGGGGAGTTTTTGGTCATTTCTGAAAAAAAAAAAAAGAAGAAAAAGTGACTATGAACTTTTAGGAAACGATGTTTTAGACAATGCACTAAAAAAAAAAAAGAGAGAGAGACATTGACCGATCATATATTCCGCTCCAAACGAATTAGGCTTAAGAGTGGCAGAGGCATATTCTGCCGCTACTACGTGAAGGAGGATTATCATGAGTACGCTGAAGTAGAAAAACGATCTTATGCACATTGCAGTCCGTCTTAATTGGCATTGACACGAAACTTGCCTCTTTAAATACAGTTTGCGTCGGCTCCCGAAGCAAATTATCGCTACTGGCAGCAAGCAGCACGAACAGCCATAAGCCAAACAACGAAAGTGGATAGGTGAATACCATGGTGAATACCAACGACCAACGTTGGTGAATGCACATGGCTGCTTACTGAAAATTGGACAATGACTGCCGTCATCTGTTGCCAGTAATTGTAAACTTTGAATGACATTGAGCAAAGTGACGTCAAACAAAAATTAAGTAATGTTGTTACTTCATAAAATAACTGTTTTAAAATATTCGCATTATTTTGTTGTACAAAATTATACATATTTTTTTTCTTACAAATCAGGCATATATTTTGATTTAATTTTAACTCTGCCCAAACTAAACGAATTAAAACACTTTTAAAAATACCACTACTTCAGAATATTGTCCAATTTGTTTTTATTCTCGTCATTTTATTAAGAAGCGCCTGCGTCAACTGCGCCTGCGCCTGTAACGGCAGTGACGGCAGCGCAAGATTCAAAATGGATGTTCACAAAAGATGCCATCGAGCTTTGGACAAGCGCTGGCGCACAATCGAGAAACTGCGTGAGCTAAATAACCTCCAACAAGCGGTGGTAAGATGGTTTGCTCGTTTTTAGAGTCCCTATTTTCTGCTTCACGTTTTATGTTTCGGTTTCGCGGCCACGGTAGCGTTCCGGGCGCGCACTCAAGGGCCTGCTTTGATATCTCTGCGTGAGATATGCCAGGAACACAGGCAGTAGCAGTGGCGTAGCCAGGAATTTTTTCGGGGGAAGATGGCTGGGATGTCTATGACTTGGGGTACGGAGAGGGAGAAGGGAAGGAGGGGGGCGGGGAGCTAAAGCTTCATTAGCCTCCTGGCCACTGGGCGGTAGCTCTATGCTAGAGCCTTTTAAAGCTTCGGGCACACTGCCCATACATCAGACAAGAGACAGTATGCAAACACTATCCGGGGTATGCTTTTCCTCGTGTGCTTTCAGATTGGTCACGCAAAGACTGTCTCCAGACAGTTTTTTTTTTATTATTATTTTTTGTACAATTGTATATATATTGTAAGAGTGCATGGGTCGGTGTTGTGGGCACACTAATTGCATGGGCCTTCCCTTAACACTAGCACGCCTGTACATTTCTACCTCCCAAGTACAATAGATAATATCAATATCAAAATGTATGAAGCAAACGTGTCCGCAGATGTCGTCGTGTCTGCCGCAAACACCGTGTCTTCTGTAGGACGTACGAGCAGTGGGACTACAGCTCAACACTTCTCTGTCACAGTGCAAGCTCCTGGTAGCGATACCGCTTCTATGCGTAGCGCAAATTTGTCTGCTTTTCGCACAGGGGTTGCGGTGATGTCAGAACGCCAAGCTCCGATGGCTCTGATTGGAAGGGCAGTGGGTAGGCCTTGGGGCGTTCAGCATTGAGGTCTACCCATTGGCCTTCCAACTGGAGCTCGACGTTCTGACTTCGCCGCAAGCCCCGCGCAAGAGGCAGACGAACCAGCACACGCCCGTTGCCTTCTGTCGTGCTTAAACAGTGTGTGCATGTTGAAACTCGCGAGACGCCCAAGTGCTATCGAAGGTGGGAGGCCAGCACTGGAGGCGGGACATCTGGAAGACCTCTGTGCCATTCTCATCCTTCCAGTAACTATATATAGGGCTGCGCGAAAACCCTCGATTCCCATTTTCCTTTGTCGGCTTCAGAGAACGAGTTCCCATACTTGCTTGCAAGCTTCCAACCCCTAAATCCGGGGGCCTCCTTTTTTGTAGAACAGGTACTGAAAACATGCTTTGCAGCTAAACAGAAAGGTCAGTCTGAAAATTAGGTCAGCCAGCTGCGCAGGGCCCGTGGGAAGGCCGAATGAACATTAATTGCGCCTGCAAACCGGGTGTAATCGGTGTGATCCATATGTCACACCCTCAAACTTTGTAGCAGTGACCAGAGTGAGGATCCCGAATTAACCCTCGGTGCAATGCTGGTCACCTTTGTGTTTATGTAAGCAAATGTACTGGCCTTGTAGATATAATCTCACGAAATCATATTCGCAACTCCAGCAACCTATAGGGGGCGCCACCTCGGAACAAACATGGCGGCTGGGAACAGGTCGCGTTGTGTCGGTTGGGCTGGCTGAACGGGAGGTGCATCGAATTTAGCAGATTTTCTTGGCTTCATGCCCTATTCCTAGATGTTTGAACTGCGACGGCTAAGTGTGCCCTGTACACCTGAACTGCAGGTTATAATTTTATTTTCCCTGTGCTGTGTATTCTTTTCATACCAAACTTTTGTTTCAGAGATTTAGGTCGAAACGGAAACTATGGGCTCTGGAGTGGCGGTATTTACATCTAATCAGTTTTGAACGGATAACGACGGCGGCGATGGCTACTGAATTGTGCCAACGAGCATAATTTTCGGCTAGCTCGCTTGCCTCGACTATGCAATTTATCTGTCCGCGAAATCAAACAAAAATCTTCAAGCGTCAGCTCGGACAAAAACACAGGCTGTACAAAAATTACGAAAATTAAGCAAGATTCCTTGAGCCAAGGAGCATGTTTACAAGCTAGAGCCCTATTAAGCGGATAATAATTATATTTCAATACAGGTTTTAGTCTACATCACGGACTCATTCTGACGAATAATCTGGTTATGTATGATCCTACGTATTTTGTCCCACTAAAGCGATATTAGCATATTTTTTTATTGAAATTTGAACTTAGTTGCCTAGCTATTAGGTGTACTGCAGAATAAAATGGATTTTACCAAAAGTGAGACAGTACTTCAACTCAACCAAATGATTCTAGCCGGCAACACGAAGATGAATGTGGACAAACTGAAGAGACAATCTTCATCGGAGATTCACGCAGACCCCACCTGGCATCGAACTTGACTTTGAACCCTGAACGGGGACATTGAGTAAATTGCGGACAAATAACATTTTATGGTCAGACAACCTAAAAAAATGTAGGTCATATTGCCGCTGGTTGCAATGGGGGCATCGTATAAATTTTAGAGGTGCAAGAAATTGTAATGTTGTGACAGATTTCTGACTTCGATAGATGCGTCCACCACCTTTTCAAAGCAGACACTTGCCCCCATTAATCGTATGCAGTGGTCAGGTTTTCCAAAGACAGGTAATCGCAAAATCGTCTCAACTTCTTCAGTGCGCTCGACGGACTTTTTCGGCGAGGAGCAGCCAAGAGGAATAGCCAACGCACTGACCGGTGTGGGTGACGGCTCCATTTGCTGGCTAAGCAATCAGAACCAAACTCTGGAAAGCAGCTATTGAACCTTTGCTTTCACTTGATTGCAACACTTGTATCCCCTCCAGCAAAACACGGACTCATTCACCCCCAGTCTGCTGTTCTGCATCACTATGAACAAATCACTTATCAGCTGGCAAGTAGTCGTCACTTTAAATGTGATTCGAGACAGAAAAGCACTCAAACCCTCTCTTCGTGATTCCACCCTATCCAAGAAATCGAAAGCATGCAACCATGCGTTGTGGAGTAAGCGGGCTTTGAAATACGTAATGGAGGAAACCAATCTACTGAGGCTTCACCTCACTAATGGACAGTCCGGCACAACTGAGGAATATTCAGGCTTTTGTCAATTTACATTGTTCCCCACCGCGCCAACAACATGTGTCCGCGAAAGCCGCCAGAGATGTGGAGCGGCGCAAAAGCGGCCTTTTCCAGCTGGTTCCCGGTTTTCCCGCTATGTGCCATCTATTTTGCTGCAGTCGCAAATACTTCGCAACCCTGTTCAAGGCCACTGTTTTTTTCCACAAATTCTGGCGTCCGCTTTGATCTGCTGGTGTTCTTGGTTTCGGCATCAGGGCTGCTGGAGCATCGCATTTGTGCGAGAGCACATGCAAATGAACCGTAAGATTGAGGCACATGCTTGTGCCGGCAGCTTTAAACGGATACTACAAGGAAATTTTGGTGCTTATTTCTTGGTTTCTACTTGTTCAAGGGAGCAGTATCACATCGGACACACCAATCTATTGTTGAAAAAGACACAAAAACAGATTTTAAAACGAAGTAAACGATTAGCAAAGGGCACTTGGTGGATGTCGCTAAAGCCTTGTTCGTAATGTCCGTCTAGGAACCTCGACAGATAATGACGATGCCTGTCTCGCCTAGAACTATACAGGGGAAGGAGGAGCTCTTCTTTCACTGGGACATTCTTTTGTGTGTCCCAGACAAGGTTATAGAAGATTAACCGATCATCGAAATTCATACAAAAGCAGCTTCGGGGTTAGTTGCGGTGGCCAAATCACTGACGTGCTTCGGCAGCTTTGGTAGCTGGAACAGCTAAGGCATCCTGTCGATGTCAGCATCACAGCAGTTTTGTTCGTCCCGAGACAATTTCCGTCACGATTGCGCAGGATGTCATGTGCTCTCCGCTGGCTGCTGTCCTAGCACTTGCCAGAGTGGGCCATTTATGGCGAAAAATACAGCCGTCAACGTGCTATTGTTATTTACGGTTGTTGTGGATCACATTCAGCCTATTTCTGAACATGACAGGCATATTTCAAATTTTGTTGGAAGTATCCCTTTGAGTGGTGTGCACTAAGTATGAAATGGGGTCTATGCCATACTCTGTGGTTTGTTTTGGCCACTAGAAACAAAACGAGCAAAGGTCTGTCTTGGAATGTCCAGATTTTAGAACAAGGCACTCTAACAGCTGCCTACATCTGGCCTCTTTCTCGTGTAGAACCTGCCTTGACATGCAAATGACAAGTGATCTTTAATGCAGAAGGGTTTGGATTTGGGCTAGTTGGTTGAACATGTTTAGGGGTTAAAAGCGCTAAAAACGACGGACGAGTAGGAGAGACACACACCACAGAAGCGCTCTGTGGTGTGTGTCTTTCCTACTCGTCCGTCGTTTTTAGCGCTTTTAACCCCTAAACATGATCTTTAATGATTGGCAGACTTTTTTCCATGTGACTGCCCGTTTGAAGGCTGCATACAAAACCTTGAGGTTCTTCCAATGGAATGTGACGCTTATCTCTGTAACTTAAATATGTACTAAAATACAAATAGGTCTAGGAGAAAAAGAAAGGACAAAAAAATGCCGAGAAGTGTCCAGCAAAAATTAGAAAGTAAACCAGTAGAGTATTTGATCAAACAGAGAATATGTGATGTCATTGTCTAAATATTCTTGCACCTTTGCTGGCAGCTAAAGCAGGTGCTCAAGCTTTCAGGATGCATACTTCGTGGCAACCATGGGGGCCTATATAGTGCACGGAACACATGCGAAAATAATTCAAGCAGTCCACCAATTGACAATATTCACTTGCAGTATTTTGAGGAACAAGCAAAACCCCTCTTGCAAGAAACCTTCAGTTATCTGCATGTCGGAGCTCTAGGTGAGTTGTTCTAACTGCAGTGATGCGATTCCTGCACCATTTGTGCCAAACTGTGCCAAAGTGCTTACCCTGTTACATCCTGCTACATTTGACCAAAATGTGAGGAATTTGCGCAAACATTCTGCCAAAAACTTAATTTCAATTGAATGATACTGAAAGCGTAATAGCTCGGGCCTCGCTGCTTGGCCGGACCCTTACCATATGCTTATGCAAGTTTTCATAGCTTTTGATTATCGTCTCAAATAACGTACAATTCGATCACAGTTCGTAAGAAAGACTGACAGTACTCGCACGTTTCACCATAATTCTCATGTTTGTCGTCTGTTCTAGTCTTGTTGAGTGCGCTTTTCACAGCGCACTGGTGTATTGGAGAGAAGCGACAACCGCGGAGCAGGCATCGCGATTTTGAGTGCCTTGCTTCGCTGCAGCATACCTCCGTGCTAAGGGGAAAGCATGCCTCCAGAACGAGACGCGAAACAATTCCTGAATACAACTTCGGCTCGTATATATGATAGACTGCTATATCCTTGCAGTACCTTCTTCCAGTTCGAAATTTAACGAGGATACTTCGGTATTGCAAGAACATTGATAAGCACTCTTTTGTATGTTTTATTATTTATGCTAACTCATTCGTTTAACTATCACTTTTCTATAGATGTAAGTACATTAGAACTAAATTGGCAGGGGCAATGGATGACACCCTGTTTTTCCTTATCTAAGCCTCTAGTCAATGCATAACCATGAGTCAAGCACCTCTGGCGTGTGCATTATTTTTTGCAAGTTCTGTGGGCTTCTCAACTGCTTTATTGCATCAATGTTTGTAATTTGTTATTTGAGTAAAGTATTATTATTACTAATATTGTTATCTTGATAATGATGATGCTGGGAATGGGAGGGCTCCTCAGCTATCAATTAACAGAGATGAGCATCCCTCAATATCAGAAGGTTTGAGAACCTTTGCCTCAAGGAGACAGATGATTTCATGACATTCTGTTGATTTATACAAAATTTCCAATATTTCAAAATCTGGTTGCCATTTAATTAATATTATAACAAGTCTCTCCTCATTCTCGGCCAGAGACAGGTCTTTCTGATATATCCCTTTAGCACAGCGAGAAAATTGTACTTTTGCAGCTCTTTCAGTGGTGTGATTAGGGTGTGCCGGGATCCTAAAATATCACTGTTTTTTTGTTTGGTTTTGTTTTCCAGAGGCACCTCAGAAAGGTTCGAGTGACCTGAATGTGAAGTTGCTGGAGTTGAAGCGTGACATCATTGCATTGGCTCAGCCCCAGCCTGATGATAGAACAGGGATCGATCTCAGTTCGAGGCTTTCACAGTAAGGAACAGCATTCGCCATTACTTCACCAGTCCATTCTATCCTGGAGACAGAAATGGGATTGAAATTAGAGATATGACTGTCGATACGTTGTCCGCCGTTCATACATGCCAACATGTGTCCCCGCTTTGGAGGTGAAATTTGGTAGTGCAGTACGACTGCAACGGCCAAAGCAATCTCTACTAACGAACCGTATACTGCATGGCCATGCCCTAACAGGGGTAGCCCTGTGAAGTCGCCAGAAATGTGGCAGTCTCGATATGAGGCGTGGTTTCAGCAACACTCTGAAGCCATTCAAGCTATGTTTTCATGTACAAAGATCTGAAATTCGAGGAAAGTTGAAAACTTTAGTGGGGCTTAAACGGGCACTAAAGTGTGTTTTGAGATCCTTGTTTTATAGTCATAACTCCATCTACGAGCCCTAAGTATCCTAATAAACCCGAAAGTACATTACATGCATGGCCAGTTTGCATATTTAAAAAGTTATCAAAGGTCCTGACACTTACTGGTGGCGCAGAATGACAGATGGCACCACCGAACTTTGCTGAATGTGGTCGAACGACGTATGGCGCTTGTCAGCCACTCGCAAGTGATGGGTTCCCGCGTGGACGAGCGGCCGACTTCGGAAAGTGATATGTAATTAGAATTAGTCCCTCCGTGCTGATCCTCTGGCTTTGGTTTTACTTTGTTTGTTTTCCGCTGCAATAAGTGTGGCTCCAGAACGAAAGACGTTTCGGGTTGTGTCTTGACGACATCACCCGAAACAACAGTCTAATACTCTGAGCAAAAATATTAACTATTTCCTGGGATGCCTGTGGCTCGTCCCTCCCATTCTGGCACTCAAAGCCCACCTGTCAAAAGTTCCTCAGAGATCCGGGCGAAATTTCGACAACCAAGAACCTGCCGCCCTTATGCACAACTGTCCCCAGCGTTCGGGACATTCGCCCTTTGCACCCTCTCTCAACCATCCTCTGTAAAATGCCATAAGAAATGGAGTTTAGCCGAACGGCTGCAGAAGTTATATTCCCGTAAGAATTATAGATGGCAAAAATGTAATATTAATTCATGCTAATTAGAACCTCAGGAACTTACACTTTTCATTCCTTCTCCCAACGTATTCTTTTTGTGTTGGGTTCTATGGGCGACCTTTGGAATGTCTCGAATTTCTACGCATCCTTACAAACAAATGTAATAGCGATGAGGGTTGCAGTATAATATCGGACTCGTAGCGTGCATTTTGTACTAAAATGTAAAGGGGTTGTGCAATGGCGTTGGGTTGAATCATTTCTCACTGTACACAAGCAATGACTCTAGCATACTCGCACGCAATACCACTTACCAGAAATTTTTGTTTGTCGTGATGTAATTTCGAGGATAGAAGTGGACTTTTTCCTTCAGTTTCTCATTCATGATACTTGATAACATAGTAAAGGGGATTGCACGGTTATTCTAGTCGCAGGGATTTCCCCGTGAGGATGATATTCAGATGCGGCTCACATGTTCGGCATGAGCACTGCGTGAACCCTCGGCTTGAGCCTGTGACAGTTGACTCCTCGACGACGTTTGAGCAGTAGCTCGTGTCACATATTGCTGCGGTGATGGGAACATGTGAACCTTCACAACGTCTGGAGCTTCGCAGGAGCCTTGCACTTTGCCAACCCCCAGCACGTGGCTGTGATGAACATCGGCGGCATATAATCGGCACCAGGTCGTGTGGTTTCTTGTTATGCCTGCGAGTAGAGATGGAACGCTGTTCGTTTTTCTCAAATGTTTTCCTGCGACTGCCATTGTGCGGAAAAAAAAGACTAATGCGCGTTTCGTAAGGTGTCCACATGGAGGATTAATTATATGCGGAATTTAGTGAAAGCAAAACAACTGTTCTATTTCCCTTTTTGGGTTTGCATAAATACTTATTATTCCTCAGGAAAAAGACGGAATGTCCCGCAATGTTGCCCGCGTGACAGTACTAGTGAAAGGTTGATGATTGGTTGGGGTACCGGTGGCTTGACTCTAATGTCTCTTCTTTTCTGCCTTTGCAGGCAGCTCGAAAACATTTTCAAGCGGGGCAAAGCCATATTGACTGGAAGCGTAACGGCTCCCATAAACATATTTTCGGTGGACCGGAACTTGGCCGAAAGAGTGGTACGTCTGTTGGCTGTGGGGACGTTTTCTTGTCGGTCATTCCTGTCGTGCTCCTAAAATGCAGGATGTGGCATTGATTATCTGCTCAGTATAAAGTGCAAGGTACTTGAATAGTGTGTGCAGCTTTCAGTCTCTTGTAGGTTCCTTGGCTATCGTAAATTCTATGAAGAAACAATAGCAGTGCGGGCAAGCGTGTGAGAGTTTACCATGGAGTCAATTGACCCGTGTTTGTTATAGAAGGAACTCTGGAAGATGAAAAAAGTATGATGGATGTAAAATATTTGGGGCACGCAATGTCTCAAATGCATCTTCCGCATTTATAGATTGTGTGGCTTATATATCCTCCTTCTTATAGTTGCAAGCAGACATTTCTTCATACTCTCATACAAACCTACTTGCGCAGTTGGCCGGCAACAACCACTGACAAATTCAACTGAACAGACTTTGAAACACTTTCTATAGGAGTGCTTTAATTGTTCGCCCTGCATATTTATAAGAAACCTTCACCTGATTCACAGTTTAAGATATATATGGGTGAGGACACGCAGTATGGCAAACGCTGCGACGCGATCGACCAGATAAAGTCCTCTTGGTGCGCTCCCAAGTAGCCTTAGAGAAACTATGCAGGCTCTGCTTGCAAAGTCATACTATAGGGTTCCTTTTTCTTGCGCCACCAACTTCGTATTGGCGGAGAAGCGGTCACGTGCACCGAACTGGATCCGACCTTCACGAGGAAAAAGGACCTTGTAGGCACCGAGTTTCGGACAGAGCATGTTTCTTGCTTTGCATTTGCGAAAAACACATCATACACTAAAATTTAACAAACTTGAAGGTTCCTTGACCATTGAACATTATGTGTACCCACTGGGTACAGTATAATTGCATTGTTTTATAACGCGAGTGATGTTTTAAAACATGTTTCCAAAGTCTGGGAAGCAGACGACACGGAGAACGATCGCGTTGCTCGCGTCTGCGTCGCTCACGAAGTGACACGCAATGGGCACATTTGGGCACTTTGGACCAGTCAACGACGCATAGCTACGGCTTTCAAATGGACAATGTTTTCATGGGCTACTATGTTCTACCAATGGCAAATAGAAAATAGGAGACAAATGACGAGACAGTGGTGCACATGGAGTGAGTCATTGCACTTTATCTTCTCTGTTCTGCATGCCGCAGCAGCTGCCTCACAGCCCCGTCACCCGCCCCTCCAGATCTCCTAAAGCAGGAGAGGTCGCTTCCCGCAGTGCGGCCTTCGATCTAACAAGGCCGCCCCGCGAGCACCATTGCGATACTGTGCTCCGCAAGCGGAGCATATGCAGTTACTCTAAGTAGCCTCAGCTGACAGTGCCTCCGCCGTCCGGAGGGCGCAAGTAAAAAAAAAAGAAGAAACAAACTAAATTTTTAAGAAGTGTCCTTTCCGGGCGTGCATTCTTATTCTTTTCTACTCGGAGCATCTGCTCTGACCTTGATGGACACTGGCATGAACACTGCGCTTGAGATCTCTCTGCTTCGACGCATTCATAAAATAGTTATTACCACCGTTGCACAAAACTAGGGTCAGTGACAAAGCAGTGTCCAAGTAACACCCATAGCGCAAATGCCAAGCTCTACATGATGTGCCGCACCTGAAAAACAACCTTAAAAATGAGCATGTTTCCCATAGAGAAGCATGAGAAATTGGGTTCGTGACCGGCTGCCATTAGCCGCATATCAAGGAGCCATCTGGTGCCATTGCCTGCAACCAAGGCAAGGACAGGACTTTATCTGGCTGCCGCGACATGCGGAGTGTCCACACCTATATATATCTTACACCGTGACCTGAGTTAATTGTGCATCGAATTTCGTCAAAAACAAAACAAACTAGTATAGACCACTTACAACGTAACCGCGTATAGTGCAGGACCGGGTATAATGCGGCATTTTTCAACCACCGGTTCGCCTTTCATACAACTTCATGTAATTTCATACCGCTTAAAATGCAGGCGCGCGAAGGGAAATACTGGTTATAGTGTGGTTTCTGGATTAGCCCACCGACCCCGCCGACCGGCCGGTGCAGCGAGCATGCTTCCGATAACTACGCAGCAAGTTACAACGCAGCGAGGTAGCGAGGTGCGACCGACACACACACGCGCGTGCTCAACTCCGAAAGCCCCATCGAGCTACCCCCAAGCCTTTCACCCTTTCGATTTCACCCCCTCGCTCGAGCGACGCAACACCAACCTCCTTCCTACACCGCGCGCGCGCGCAAAATGAAGGCTGGATAGTTTCTAGTTTCGCTTCTTGCAGTTTGCTAACTTGCTCCACGTCGTCTGTTTGGACCGCGTGTGGATCGCGTCAAGCATATCGTGCGCAAATCGACCGTCCATCCCGATCTCTCCGTCTACCAAGCCCAAGATGGCCGAGAAACGACAAGCCCCGTCTGTCGAAACTAAACAGAGCATCAACAAAGATGTCGAAAGTGGCATGAAAAAAAGCTTCCGTCGTGGCCAAGTACAGCGTCGCTGACATGACGGTTTTTACTGTCTGGAAGAACCGGGAGCAGGTACGGAAGCACCTACAGCAAGATTCTGCGTTGCTCTCAGGAAAGAGGATTCGTACGTCAAAGTATGAGGACATCGATGAAGCCTTGTTTAGGTGGTTTCGCAAAGTGCGAGCCAAGAATGTCCCAATAAGTGGCTCAATGCTACAAGCGAAAGCTAAGTCCTTCGGACATTTGTTCGAACACGAAGGCTTCAACCCCCTCAACGGATGGATCCAGCAGTTTAAAGATCGCCATGGGATTAGTTGCAAAGTTATCTCGGGCGAAAGTGGAGAAGTCGACGACGCCAGCATCCAGGTGTGGTTTCACATTCATCTCGAGACGATGCTTTCTGCGTATGCGGACAAAGACATCCATAATGCCGATGAAGCTGGTCTGTGCTACAACATGCTTTCCGATTGCACTCTCGCGATGAGAGGTGAATCCTGTTCCGGCCGCAGAGTCTCAAAGGAACTTGTCACGGTTTTGTTTTGTGCAAACATGGACGGCTCCGACAAGCGGCGCTTGTTTATCATCGGGAAATACAAACGACCCCGTTGCTTCAAGAAGCGAGAATGCCTGCCTGTGGTGTTCACAGCAAATGGAAAGGCCTGAATGACCCAAGAGTTCTTTGCTAGTTGGCTGCAAAGTTTCGATTAGGCCATGGTCGCAGAAAAGCGGCTCGTCATTCTTATTCAGGACAACTGCAGCGCTCACAATGTGCAGTCACAATTAAGCGCGGTCAGTTTGAAGTTCCCGCCGGCAAACACCGCTGCTAAAAGCCAGCCTCTCGATCGGGGCGTCATCGCTACAGTCAAGGCGCTCTACAAGAAGTGCATGTGCGAAAGAGTTGTCTTAAGTTGCAACGAGAAGAACCCCTCAAGGTGAACTTGAGGGGCGCCATCGACATGATCACCGCGTCGTGGTGGCAAAGTAAAGGCTACTTGCCACCACAGCAAGTAGCCTTTACTAGCACTCACTCGAAGCAAGTGCAGATTTTCGCGACTCCCGTGACATACGTTATATGCTGTCTACACTTAGTACCAGGATGGAAACAATGGTCCACGCACAATGAATCGCCCCACTATATCTTCTCTGTTCCCCCCTATCTCAAGTACAAGAATCAGAATGTCCAGTTCAAGGTTGCAATATCCCCCCCTCCCACTCGACACGCCCACCAAGGGCCGTTTTGCACACTTGCTTTGAGCATGCTCTTTGCTTTGTTTTCTAAACGCTTACGACGCGAGAAAACACCGCATCAGAGCCGTCTGTAGGTTGCCTTGTAACTGCATAGAATTATCGACCAAAGCTTTTGCAGTACTTGTGAGGTCAAACCTATGCAATATCTATGAGAAATGGTCGCTTATAACATTGTCAGAATTATTTCGAGCCTGCAGTAAATGAATGATGCTTAAAAAATTATAAAAATATATGCGCAGGTGGAAAGGGTTCCGGAACCACCCAACAGATGATGCCATGTAAGCTGTTAAAAGCAAATGCATCACACTCAAGCAGACTAAAGTGCGTATGTGCGAACCAGCCTTAACGATGCTCATACCAAAACGACCATTGTAAAAACCACGGTGCAGAGGGACGACGAGGAGGGGAAGTAGGGACTGGAAAGTAGGGATGGGGAATCGCTGAACAGTTGTGAGAAGGAACATCTGGAAATTTGGCCTATACTTTGAGACCTCTGCAATTTCATTGTTGAATTGAGAATAAGTTTTATTTTCTTCCATTTTTTATATTACTTTCTGTTTTCTTGTTTTGTGATCTCATCTGAGGAAAAATTTGCAGAATTGTTCGGGCGGTTCTAACTCCTTGAACCAATTGTCTTACAATGACGCAGTAATGAATGGTACAGTGAAGATCGCATATAACGTATGTCGCGAAAATCCACACTATAAGCGGTACCGCGCTATAACCAAAACATCAATTTTTCAGGCCAAAATACATGCCATGAGACAATTACCTTTGTAAAAGAATTTATTTTATGTTAGATGAAAAATAAAGCTTAGTTTGACGAAAGACTTTATTTCACCAGACTAGTACACTTCTCTCTCAAGTGTGTCACACATTTTGAAAGAAATGAGCGACTTTTGCCTGGCGCAGCCTTTTAACGACGTTGCGGGTTGCGGACGGACGTTGCGAGCATTCAGGATTGCTAACCCTAATCACTTTTCTCCAGCGATGAAAACGCGTGAAAATTCGCATCTTTTATACGATACGCGCCAGTAATACCTTCAACTTGAGCACAGGCATGAAATGCTCCAAATAAGAAATCCGGGCGATGTTCGAAAACCTAAATGCTTAGAAAGCACCACTGTAGTCGAAGTAAACAAACACGACGACACGAGCATTTCTGCCGCCTTGAGAGTGCCGCCGCGACATCGCCGCACGTATTGTGCTTGCGGCTAGCGCCGTTATCTAGTGTCACACAGGGAAGCGTGCTCGCTGCGCCGGTCGGTCGGCGTGGTCGGCGGGCTGTTACAGAAACCGCACTATAACCGGTATTTCCCTTCAGGCGCCTGCATTTTAAGCGGTATGTAATTACATGGAGTTCTATGGGAGGCGAACCGGTGGTTTAAAAAAGCCGCGTTATACCTGGTCCTGCACTATAAGCGGTTACGTTGTAAGTGGTCTATACTGTATTGAGGTCGTACGGCTCGAATAAATGCCATGCTCTCTTAGGGCTGTTTTTTGAGAACATTTTTGTACCACAGTTGTACAGACAATAAATGTTATTTGATATGTAAGAGCAGTTGTAGTAGAACTTGCACAGGTGTTTATGCAGCTTGACACCAATCTGCACAGAGATATCGTACAATAAAGAGTTTTAGTAGACCGTGTTCCCCTCTCCGCTAAGCCCCTCCGCTACCCGGAACTCTACAGCCAAGGCCATCGGCACACAGGCGCAGTGGCGGTTTCTTCATTGTGGAGGGCTTAGCAGGGGGGAAACACTGCCTACTAAAACTCCCTAATATCTTACCAGTGTTCTCTTGGGGAAATGTGACTTTTAACGTTAGATCCTAATTAGCTTACCACACGGCAAGGATCATGCAAGAGCGCTCAGAACGTACTGCTTGTCCAAACCCAAGCGCCTGGGAGTGAGATTTAAGGACGTGCGTTTTTGTACTTTGGCTAAATATAACCCTGTACAATACTTTCGCACCACGTTAATACTGCAAGGCAGGAAATGTGTGCAAGTCGGTTGTAACATTCTTGGCTCGGTTTCTGCACAACTCTTGTTCTTCTGCCTTCTCGCAGCGTTGTGGCATTTAAAAAGTGTGATTCTTTCTTCTTTCAGGAGGAAGATGCTAGAATTGACAGGGCACTGTTGGAAATCCAGCTTGCAGCTGCAAAACTTCAAGCCCATGCGGATCGACTTCAAATTTGAGAACATTGCGAGCTTGGTTTTCTCTTTGAAAATTATTTCTCATTAAATGAGCTTTTTGAGGGATAGGATTGCATCATGTAAATAAAGGGGTGGGAATTTTCCTAGCTGTGCTACAGCACTGCACAGGCCTACTTTTTGAGGCCCGGCCCAGGCCCGCTGACTCTTAGCACAGCCTCTTACATACTGATGAAACCTGGCAGATCGCCAGGAGAAGCAGGCGCCGAAATGGAAAAGGTGGAGCTACAGACAATGGATGAGAAAAGAGCCACGTGACTGGCGCCCTGCTGCGGCGAGATGCTGAAACACACTTCTTCTGAGCGAACAAGTGTGTTTCGGGTCCTCACTGCTGCAAAAGCTGCGCACTGACGTCCAGGTTCCCTGAGAAATGGCTCTTAGATGCTCTGTGCTACTAGATCTTTGTGCTCCAAATCTGTGACTGGTCACTCTGTGTCTCCGTCGTCAAACTGCCAGGCTTTGTGAGTTTAGATGAGGCTATGCTCTTGGTCACTCCTGACTGTGACCCGGCTCGATGAGATGCCTACCTGATCAGGCTCGGCCCGGGCCCGGCCAAGTAAGTGGCCAATGCGTGCCCCATCTCTTAAATTCAAAGCTGCCCTGGGAAGTTGTTGCATTTGATTCATTCACTAATTTGCACGAAAGACGCTTTCATATCGCAGGCACATGGTGACCTTTTGAAATTTTATACAAATATAAAATACATAGCTTATCTTTGGTGGCCAGAATGCCTTTTTTTTTTCTTCAAGAGTTTGAAAAGGAAAGGGAAAAACAATCGTAATGTCCGCCGTGATTGGATTGCCCTTGTTTTCTTGCCTGCTGGCGGCTGTCCCACTATGCTGGTGGAATCCCCAGGATTCTCTGCAACTCCTTGTGGGCTCTCCTAGTCCAAGACGGCTTTTTCTTTATTTCTAAGATTTCTTGTAGTAGCGTCGTAGCAAGTTCGCACTTCAGATTTTTTCGTTTCTTTGAAACGAAAAAATCTGAAGTGCGAAAAAAAGCTGTGAAAGATCAGTGCATTTGCATTTATCTCTCAACGTTTTAGAAAGTGTGCTACACCATTCTCCGAGCACGACCTGGGCTTTTGGGCTGGCCCGGCATTGTGCAGGGCTCTGAGCTGTGCACACCCATTTGGCACTTTCAAAAGTCCCACGAGTTGGCAGAAGGGCCATGAGGCATGCACTTTGGACATTTTCTCCTGTCAATGATTCTATGGATTCATACAAAGCTTGAGCTTGTCGAAATCATAAAAAGTATTTGCAACTACAATTACTTTATAAATTTCAGTCAAAAGTAATTAATTACAATTACTAACATGGAAAAGAAATTAATATGTGGTAGTAGAATTACTCTACTTGAATACTTACCGAAGTAGTGCCATTTCATGGATTCTTCTTGAATAACATTATTTCTAATTGCCCTTTGTTTCTTGTAGAATAAAAGGCACCTTGACTGCAGTACAAATTATGAACTGATGTCTTTGAATTATTGTTTTACAGCGAGAGTGTGCATGCATCCGGAAAGGTTGCAATGGCTGTGACCTTTGTCCCGGAGCTTTTGCTTTAGTCGTGCAGAAGTGCACGCACCAATCTGCACATGCAGATAAGGGGCACGATTGCAAAGAGTTCGACGGACTTTCAGATACATGGATTCGACGATTATCTACCTTATGGTGAAGAGAAGCGAGCAATAAGATAAAGCTTGAAGAGTGCAACTCAAGCAAATGGATGAGCTGGGGGCGATGTACAAGAAGCATTTGTTCAACAGCTGTTTGTAGATACAGAAAAAAAAAAAAATGAACTTGTGTTTTGAGTGGTGGTCAAAAAAAAATATTTTTTCTTATCGTTTGTTTTGTGACTTCATAAGGAAAGCTGAGTAGTCTGGTGGTGAGGCCCCAGAAATGAGCCAATTTTTGTAAATCACCAGTTCGTGATGTTCTGGCATGAAACTTAATGAGCACATGGTCAACCAAGCGCGGGCACTGCCTAGGCAAAGGAAAAAAAGTCTCTAAATGTGGCTTATCATTTTTGTCCTCAAATTCGTTCTCTCTGTCTCCTTCCCAATGTCCGCATGGTTTCATCCTGGGAATCTTTGAATCCCGTTTTCGGTCAGGTGGCACCAGTAATTTCAAAAATAGTGGAATTGAAATTAAAATCACTGGCTAAGTAACACAGAACGTTTGACTCATTAACTTAAGTTGTAATTGCAGAACTTCGTAAACGGATACCACGGCAGAAAATAGGGGCCAACTTTTTATAGATGTTAATTGCTGTATTTCCCCAATCTTGCGATGATGGCAATGAGTAAACTGTGTTCGACAAGACATCTGGCCTCTTATACCAAATATGCATTCAAACAACTGAATTCACAACCGCTGATGTTCTCAAGTGTAAAGCATCCTCAGGGACTGCTGAATTTTAATCTGACAAGCTCTTTTCTTTTTTTGCTTTTGTAGAAGTTTTTTTTTTTTATTTTTTTAGGAGCGAAGCTTCTTAGGGTCTAGCCTTGTCGGTCCGGCCAGAGCGGGCCGGCAGCCGTGCTCACATCGATCTTGCTGGTGCTCGTGCTCGTAAGCTCACAAACGAAAAAAAAAAAAAAAAAAAAAAAGTTTACGCAGTCGACAGGATTCGAACCTGTGCGGGGAGACCCCAATGGATTTCTAGTCCATCGCCTTAACCACTCGGCCACGACTGCGGAACGAGTACGAAGCTCTGAGATGTGGTAGTAACTCAAGAGCTGGGGATATGGAACATTGCATGTGGCCACCCCTGTGGCAACATGCAACTACAGTATTCTAGTACACTGTAATGCAACATCGGCTCAACGTTTACAGACGAGAGGGCGCTGCGGTCAAATGTTTCATTTCACACATTCTCTTTCTGACATGGATGAAAACGAACGAAAGGCTCGGCATGCTGCGGCGCAGCGTCTACGCAGACAAGCACTAGCAGAGCTTCGCCCCAATCAACATTATTCACCACGTAAAATGCGGTCAATTTTTTTTTTTTTTTTTAATTTTGTTGAAAATGAAAAGGGAAGACAAAAATAAGGCTATGAACCCATACGCTATTTTTGCTCGCGGTTTTTGTTTTCCTCAGCGTCTTGAGCGGACCAGCGAAATCTCCGGCTGGAATCGAGCGATCAGCGTTAATCAGGAGCTCCGATAGGGGGAGCCACAATATCAGAAAGCTTCATAGGACCTCTAGCACCTCTAGCCACAGCCTCTTGCACCTCTTGCAGAGCCGCCTCTAGCAGAGCCGTCCCGTATCTCTACGGGCTTCCGGCGACGGCGGCGGATAGCTGGGATAGCGGCGGCGCGCGCGTCGGCGCAAAGAAAGAAAACCAACGAACAAAAGAAAACGCAAAAAGGAAGCACTTGCCGGCGTCTCCCTCCCATTCACACGCCTCGCTCAGTTGAGTTCCTTCGTTCTTCCTCGCACCACCGCCACTCCAAACCACCACCATGGCCTCTGGTCTTCTCGGCAAGTGGAAGCTCACCGAAAGCGAGAACTTCGACGATTTCCTCAAGGAACTCGGTGAGTGCGCTATCCGCATTAGCGTCGGGGCTAAGTTTCCACGAGCACGCGGGTTTCTTCTAACTTATCTTTCATTTTCTTACTTTCTTTACACTTGATTCTCGAGGCGGGCGGCACCGGCGGCGTGTTCACTGCTCAGCTCACGTGCTTCTTTACTTTTTTTTTTTTTTTTTTTTTTTTTTTTTTTTTTTTTTTTTTTATGTTTCGGGCGGCTTGGAGCAAATTGGGGACAACCCAGAACAGGGCACGCGTTTAAAAGGACAGTTAGCGTGTTCGCTACTAATAGTTTCTGCTCCGGATCTCAGAATAGCCGGCATCCCTCGCTCGTTTTCTTGCTCGAGCATTCTTCGAGAACGCGTTCCAGTGGGCGCGACACCGGCTGAGGTTCCCGACGAAGGCACGACTTGGCCGAAACTGCACACTGCTACCTCCAGGTCTCGTCTCGATGCCGGCTTCTTCGGCAAACGCAAGGGATCGATAAATGCGAGCCGCAGCGGCGATGACTGCGTGCCGATATGAGTCGGAGCAACCCGCCCAGCCGGCGCATTCAAAAACGTGGACCGCAAAAGCGCCAGCAATGCGGTGTCCTGCGGTCGACCGCTAGCCTCGCATCTTACGCAAACCGCGAGAACGGGTTGAGAGAAACCAAGCGTGAAAGTGGAGACCGTTGCATGCCTTCCGTATTGTGCGTTTAATGGCGGAAATGTTGCGTGGAATCGCTTTCGCCGGCGTTCGGGCGAGAGGAGGGAATTTGGTACACGGCCATGCTCGTGTACGCCCTTGGGCTCTGGCGTGTTGCGTCATATTACGCGCGGACCCTTCCGCCCTTCCCTTCAATTGCGTTTTCCATTGACGATGGTTTGCTCACCACATCATTGCGTGTTCGAAACGTACACGCAACCGGCGAAAGTGCCGTGGAGTGTGTCGAGGCAGGCCCCAGACTGGCGAGACGCGTCTCTGGCGTTGGAGCCCTGCAGCTTGAAATTAAAACGTAACAACGCAAGTTTCAGATGACCGTACAGTACGATAGCGGCTTAACTCGCTCTGATTGCCACAATTACTTCTTTTTATGCTATTTTGTGTTCGGTGCGACCCGGACAGCGTATGGCATTGGTTTTGTTCTCCGCCTTTGTATTTTGCAGCTGTTACAAGCGCCGTATCTTTTTTCTATTCTTTTGGAAGTTGAGTTTGACGTTTTGACGTAGAGGCTGGTTTCTTGTTCGTTAAAGAGTGAAAATGATTTATTAGCACAAAACAGGGCACACGGCACCTGCCAAGCAAAGCAGATGGGTAAAGGAAAAAAAAAAAAGAAAAAAAATGCGCTAGACATGTTGGAAGCGCACATTTCTGTGAATCGAGCATGCTTCGAACATACTACTTGAAGCTCGCCTGCAAATAATTCGGTCATCATGCGTGTAGCGAAACCGTGTCTTTTGTAAGATATATGAAACAACTTGGCGACCCAACGTGCTCTAAAGCAGCGAGCGCCAGGATCGGGGGCGCCTGTCGTCC